TCAATGTAATTACCGTTAATCCATTCCGGCGTCCGCGGACCATGCGTCAGGGGCGGAAAAATGGCCGCGGACCATGCGGCAGGGCGGAAAAAGGGCCGCGGACCAGGTGGAACGGGCGGAAAAATGGCCGCGGACCACGTGGAACGGGCGGAAAAATGGCCACGGACCACGTGGAACGGGCGGAAAATGGCCACAGACCACGTGGAACGGGCGGAAAAATGGCCGCAGACCACGTGGAACGGGCAGAAAAATGGCTGCGGACCACGTGGAACGGGCGGAAAATGGCTGCGGATCCGGTTCGTAAGTCGAGGCGAGTTCGCAAGTTGAGGTAAATTTTTGGGGCCGGAGCTGGTCGTATCTTGAAAAATTCGTAAGGAAGGGCGTTCGTAACTAGAGGCACCACTGTATTCCATGTTCTCAATGTGGCACGTCTAACGTAGTGATTTTTAAAATCTACACTAACCTTGACATTATCATGCACAAATATCCACGCCGCCCAAATCTCAAGTGTTCTTCTAACTCTAAAAGTGAAGCTGCTACTGTTTAATCAACAAAGCACAGTTAAAGCTTTGCCAGGATCAGTCTGTTCCAGCCTGCAAGGTTGTTGGGGTTTTTTCCCTCTAAGTCAGTGTTGCCCAAACATGGCCACTTTAAGATGAGTGGACTTCAACTCCCAGAATTCCCCAGCCAGCCATGCCACTAGAACAGATGGATGGGTGGCATCATGCTGATTTGTGTAGTGTACAGCTGTGTTTCTCAGCCTCAGCAACTTTAAGATGTGTGGACTTCAACTCCCAGAATTCCCCAGCCAGAGTTGAAGTCCACTCATCTTAAAGTGGCCAAGTTTGGACAACACTGCTCTAAGTGAAGAGGTGCGTGAAGAGAAGTTGTGTACTTACAGGGCAAGATGGTTGGTTTTTGGATACAGACTATTTGGAACAAAAACTGTTCCCTCTGGACGTTTTTCCAACGTACAGGGGTTCCTCAAGTGCACGCGTGCATTTTTGTCTTTTCAGCAGACATTTTTGCATCTGATCAGGAACTGAGGGCCGATCTGAATCCATAGCTGTAATACAGAATGTTGAATATCGGTTTAGGATGTGATGTTGTGGTAACATTTAATACAAGTGGAAATTTAGTAAGCACAGACTTACCAAAAGCATTTTTTTGAATTTTCCTTCAACTGTTTAAGGCAGTGTTTCTCAACCTTGGCCACTTTAAGATGTGTGGACTTCAACTCCCAGAATTCCCCAGCCAGCCATGCCACTAGAACAGATGGATGGGTGGCATCATGCTGATTTGTGTAGTGTACAGCTGTGTTTCTCAGCCTCAGCAACTTTAAGATGTGTGGACTTCAACTCCCAGAATTCCCCAGCCAGCCATGCCACTAGAACAGATGGATGGGTGGCATCATGCTGATTTGTGTAGTGTACAGCTGTGTTTCTCAGCCTCAGCAACTTTAAGATGTGTGGACTTCAACTCCCAGAATTCCCCAGCCAGCCATGCCACTAGAACAGATGGATGGGTGGC